TTGAAAACGCGCCAAAATTTCTTATTAATCAACAAGCAATCTAACTGATATGACTGATATATATCATATCAGCTGTGATATGATTATGAACAATAAATTTTGTTCGAAACCTGGAATCCAGTAAATAATACTGTTTCACTCTGTGATACATATAATAAACAAACTAATATGGAACAATGTAGTCTTCCTGAAAATTGTGAATCACAGGCAGTAGATGCATCTGCGCCACCACTGAGAACGCTTTTGAGCCACATCACCAACTGTCTCCAGCCTTCATCAGTTTTTATCGACCCAACGACCCCAACCGGTCAGGAAGTCTGCACCTTCCAACGTGGTTGGCTGGCTGGCTTAAACTAATTGTTATGGATTTCATTGACTGGTGAAGCCATGTTTTGGTCTGACCACCACTGACTAACTCTTTTCCAACCTGACCCTATGTCAGCTAACATTCCCCATTGTCGAGGAAGGTGATGACTAGGCAGGCATACGCAACACATGTCTTCGCCATTCAACTCAGTCAATGTAGCTTCACAGCCTCATCTATTGATTTCTTCTCCTTATCTACCTGGCACTCGACCGGAGCCTAACCTCAATATTACTCACCCTATTATACCACTTCACACACACGAAAGACAGAACACAGACGACTATGGTCAAAGAAAGCTAGCTGGTCTTTTCATGTCTTTCACTCTCAATGACCAGGTCTCACTCACAACCAAAAAGGAGGATGGAGCAAACTTCTGAGCACTACAAACGTCTTTTGGTCAATAGCCGGATATCACGTCTACGCTTCAATTTTGCTAATAATACAATTTCTCAAGTCCCTACTTATGTGTTTTTCCAAGTGTCGTCAGCAATTAGTCACACACAGCGTTTGGTGTATTAGAGACCGTGAAAACGTAGTTATATTACAGCATGCGGAATTTAGTTGGATGCTGGTACGGAAGAGATTTACCAGTTTGGTATGAAAATAACTAGGATGAAATAATTAAAGAAAAAGCGACGGCTAAGCGTAAGTTTTACTTTTAGGCATCTATAATAAACTGTGACAGGGACAAATCAGGTTGGACTTCTGTGGTGATTGACAATTTCTATCTCTGTATTGTTTAAATACTTACTGTTGATTGTTAATATGTTTCTTATATGAATTGCATAATAATTCCGCTAAATACAAATTCCTGAATTCTGCCCTCTCTGTGTTTTGGTTGGATTCGTGTAATTCGGCCATCTCGAAATACTAATATTACGACTACAATAAAATACTACAAATTGGCGTCGCGATGGAACTAAATAACCTGGGAAAATTTCCTCTTAATGGTTCTCCGCGGGAGATTGCTGATTATTTGGAATGCTTCGATGCGTGGTGCATTTCAAAGAATGTTCGGGATGACAAAATACCAGCACATTTCATTACTGCTATTGGGCTAGATGCGTATAGCCTAGTAAAGACTCTGTCATTTCCAGATAAACCAATTTCTCTACCATATTATAAACTCCGTGAACTTCTGATAAATCACTTTCATGTAACTACATTTGAGACCAGAGAGAGGGCTCACTTCAACAAACTGGTACGTGCTCCCAACCAGAAGATTAGAGACTTTGTTCTTCAACTCCAATTACAAGCTTCAAAGTGTAACTTTGGAGATCAGCTGCATACTCAACTACGTGATCGTCTAATTGCTGGAATCAATATTCCTAAGTTAGAGAAAGAGTTAATTCAGATTCCTTCTTGTACCTTTCAAACTGCTAAAGATTTATGTATTACATATGAAGATGTCAATAATGAATACTCTGCTCCCACTACGTCAGTATCTGATGTCATGTTGTCCAAAGTCGAAAATACAAGTGTTCATGGAAAGCAATCCAAACCGTCGTCCACAGGTAATAGAATGCAGCGAGAGATCAAAAACATTAAACCGTGTTTTTCCTGTGGAAAGTTACATCTACGAAGCACTTGCCGTTTTCGGAGTGCTAAGTGCCATAAATGTGGTAAAGTTGGACACATCAAGACTGTTTGCAGAAGTTCGAATACTTATGTTGCTCAACATTCTTATAATTCTCCCAATCTGTCTAGTAAAATGGAGTCAATGTGTCTTTCAACCTTTCAAAATACTCAAGCTGATCCAATGAAAACCTCCACTACAAGTTCGGCAACTCAAGTGTCAACTGTTTTCAAAAATGAGGTAGCCGAGTTACAATGTGAACTGTCGAAAACACGAAAAGACCTGAATGAGATGAGAGAGCAACTGATTAAAATTGAGGAATTGATGCATATACATAGACTGCGTCTGTTGAATGCAGAGCATACAAGTACCCGTGAAAGTCCTGCAAAACTATTCAAATCTCGAATTCTCAAAAAGCATCTGATGTCCACGACTTCTAATGTACATTATTACAAAAAGAATGACTATAGACCTTCTGTTGGAATTGTACTACAAAAAATGGGAAATCGAGTGGTGAAGATATTAGACATCAAAGATCACTCAGTTCATAACAGACACATGGACAAAGTGACAATAAATGAAGTAGGTCGTTCCAATTATAATATTAATGATTCCGTTACTAATCCCGATTTTGTAGATAATTCAGAAATAAGTCCAGATAATACTGATGAAAATGATATCACAGAATCAGTTAGAAGGTCGCAGCTACTTGCAAGCAAACCGAGACATCGTTATAAATACGCAAGGAGATATTCGACGTGTGGCGGATGTGGTGATTGACAATTTCTATCTCTGTATTGTTTAAATACTTACTGTTGATTGTTAATATGTTTCTTATATGAATTGCATAATAATTCCGCTAAATACAAATTCCTGAATTCTGCCCTCTCTGTGTTTTGGTTGGATTCGTGTAATTCGTTCATCTCGAAATACTAAAACTACAACTACAATTAATTACTACAACTTCCCATTCTTATTTGTATAACTGATTAAAACATTACGGAAAGCCAGAACAAAGTAGATTATCGGCTTAGATGTTTGGCACTTCCAGAATAATATGTAGTAGCTTTGTAATGTTCATAATAAAAGTTGTATTTTAGTAATGAGAAATATGGATAAATTCGTTTTACAATTTTCAAAACTGTGCTTTTGTGCCAACAAGTTACTCATCATTGAGCTATATCTGGTGATACACCTAGGATGGTAATACTCAAATAATTCAGTCTAGAAAGCTGACGTTTTCAAATGGAATCTAGTAAAATACTTTACACCTAACTTACATTAACCTGCACACACTTACGCGTTGTTATTTATATCTATCCTTCAATCTCAGCTTCTTCTTACCGAGTTTATTCTGTGTAATAATATTGATCAAACTGTTAGTATTCGGTTTTTAACCATTGAGACTGTGCACATCAGAAGAGCTAGTTAATAGCCAACTTAATGATATTATGATGGATATACACACTTGCTGAAACTGCCCAGTATTAGCTGTCTGACTGGCATAGGGTACTTATTAACTATCACTAAGTAAAGCATCCTTAAATACGACATGACGAACGATGATAACAGAATCCTTAAATTTCGTGTTGGTTTTTGTCTAACCACAAGTTTGAAAGTATAAAATAATTCAAGTGTTGGTTTGTAGGGTTTTGATTGGTTACAGGATTTCATCATGAGCTGAAATTAGTTAGAGAACCATTGGAAAACCCCCTTGGAGTATTGGACAGCTGTTTCGTCCTAGATCAGGTGTGAGGACAAATACTCGCCGAAGACATTGATACGGGTCTCGCTATGTCGAGAATTAGCAGAAGTTAGAATTCATGGGCCATTGGGTCGGCTCCCAGTGGCTTAATGGTGTACGAGCTGGCTCGCCTTGTAGCCACAAGGTCCAGGATTTGAACCCCGGTGGGTGCGTACTGATGAAGAGTCCCAAACTAGGACGAAACAGCTGTCCAGTACTCCCATGTGGTTTTCCAATGGTCCTCTAACCGATTTCAGCTCATGGTGAAATCCTATAAAATAATTTTTGACTTATTGATAATACGTCAAAACACACCATGGATACCATCGTACTTATCTATAGCTGGTTTATAATAAATCCTTAATAATAAGCTGTTTGACGCCCATTAATTATAGAACACACATTTATCATACTATTTCTGTTGAATATGTAATTAAATTGTTTTTATGATTAGAATATTTTGAACAAAAGACAAATTAATTGTTCCACAATTAAATAACTTAAAGCAATATTATTTAAGAAGGAATCTGTCATAATTCTAGATTAAATAAAGAAAGAACACAACAACAACAGCAACATAAGCACCAGGATTTAAAAAGTCTGGTTAAGATGATACCTATTCATTGTAAGGTAGATAGATTTATGTAACAATATTATAGATAAGAGAAAAATATATTTAGCATATTTACATGTTCATATATATAACATTATCGTAAGTTAGTGGCATCGTTTTTATCGACCTTTTTCATTCTGAATAGACTCTAAATATTGATGATGTACAGAAAAATAGAATAGATGAATTGAATTATGCTTTAAGTTGCTCATTATCAGTCATTTCTGTAGAAAAAACGAAAAGAAACTATACAAGTAATTGGGAAAAAACAACAAATATAGAAGTAAATTATAAATAAATAAACAAAACAAAGGAAAGCTGATCTTTTCTTCAATCAACATTATTCATTATAATTTATATAGAATAAAAAGTTAAAATGAAGAAATCACAAGGAAATAGAACAACAGTAAGAAGCGTGTTTGTTTTTTATTTTTCGCTATCACTTATTGCAAACAACCATATCAAATGGTTCATATTATAAATATAAATATGAATAAAGATATTTGTGCGTGAATTTTAAGAATTTGTTTTACTTGATGAAGGCATATATGAAGAAGGTACAATGCTCTTAATTGAATCTGTACTCTTATTTGATGTGAAAATGTTGACCGTGTGAGTAGGTGTAGCACAACAGGATGTCGTCGTTGTTGAAAAATGCATATTAGTTAAATTGTCATTATTATTATTATTATTAATATTATTATCAAAAATATTCTTAATTGTAGCAGTAGAAATTGTAGGCGTTAAAGATGTTCCACCCATTGAGTTTAAACGATTTGTCTGCCCAAGTAAAATACGTATGCGAGGCCTACCACAATCAGAACCAAAAGGATCCACAAATGGCGCCTCATGTGGCTAGATAAATATGGTAAACAAAGAAAAGGCATTTCATGAATGAGTTAAAACAGTAAATGAATGGAATCGTAGTGTAACAAACAGAATAACTGGTGTAATATATAACTAGTGTCACCCGTGGGAAAAATGTGTTAGCAAGTGATATAAAGGCTTTTATAAATGATGGTAAACAAGAGACCATTCTGTAACCAATACTTTGAAATATGCTCTTGCTTTAGAAAATTAATAGTGAAGTTGAGAAAATACATTTAATATAAACAGTAAATTAGGATGAGGATAAAAGCTATAGCGAGGCGTTTCTGCGCATAGTATAGTAAACACCACAACAGATATTCTAGATATGTGGAAAAAGTGGCAAAATACCTTTGAAAAAGCTTAAGTTAACATTTGATAAGATTACAACGTTCATCTCAGCATATACTATAAAATCACTTAAGACCTGCTAACTTCTCATAAATCATTTGAACGTATTACTTTAATGTTCAGGAAAGATATCCATTGTGAACTGTGTGCTTGTTCAATAGAGCATAAAGATGAGGAAATTATGGAAGGTTAGGTGATAACCGGTGGATTGCATTAGTTACACTTCAAAAAACGATTAAATTATAAATGCACAAAACAGAAAAAAAGCGGTGAAACTAATCAGAAGGAATAGGTTTTAGAAGACTAATAATATGTCTGTAGAAATGAACAGATTACTTAACGTTTTGAGTGAGAATGAGACTAGTGTTATTGATATATATATATATATATATATATATATATAAACTGAAGAAGTGATTACAACTAACCGTTTCTAACCATGTTGTGTTCTGTGGTATGAGAGTTATAAAATAATCCCTGAGGTAGTTCGAGTTGCTGATCCACTCACTTCAGGTGTGGATAATATAAGATGTAGAGAAAAATATTCGGGGAAATAAACTAAACATCTAGTGGTCTCTTATTCTTTTCATTAAGCAAAAACAAATTTTACTAATGGCTTATAAAATTGGAAGGGATTAAGTTAAAAATGACTACTTTTTCCTAAATCAACAGCCCTATGTTTAACTCGGAACCCAAGGGAATAATAATAGTACAATTAAACATGAACCAGTCAAACAAATCAACAGTAAACCACCATTTATTTAGCTGACTTCTCACCAGCTGATTACAGCATAAAGACACTATTAAGTTTATGCACAGAGGCAATTTTAACACACACACACACACACAGAGGTCATTTTTAAACCAAAGGAAAAATAAACAATATTTGCATACAATAGTAATAACAATAATAACAGTAATCACTTTGTCCCAAACAATACTAATCAGACAGATTGAAATATTTTGGCGTAACGTAATGAAATGAAAGAGAGGATGAAAATATGTAGGGGTAAGTTAAAGCAAAAGACTGATAACTGCTTCTTTCTGAACACATATATCGGGTTTCAGGCGCTTGATGGAAATCGCTTTGGCAAAATTAAGGAGAATTGAACTCTTTTGAATGATGTTGTGACGTCCACCTCATGACCCTACCCGTATCAAGGAGATGCCCGGTAATGGGACTATTGTAAGCGATTTTTTCCTTGAGATGTTGGCTTTTCGTTACGTGCTCAGAAAATCGGAGGTTTGCCCTTCTTTCTGTTATCCCAATGTAACTGCTCCCATGGACACATGTAAATCTGTATATACAGTTGGAGTTGACATGATAAGGGTATCTATCGACTTTTGATTGCACCAAAGTGAACTTTGTCCGATACACAGGAATCAGCTTAGCTGCAGGATAGGCTATGGCTAGTGACATCCTCAATCTTCTACTGACTATTGCTGCAATATTTTCACGTTTAAATTCAAGTTGAATGAAGACAGGTATTTTTCGCACTGCTATTTGTTTGATGTTTGAGCTTTCACATCTTGCGTATTTGTAAATGAATCTCTGAGTGACGCCATTGTTTTTCAACATCTTTTCAAGAAACATAAATTCTTGGAATTCATTAATTCATAAATTTCTCTGTAAAGAATATTATTCTATCTCTATAGTACAGAGTCTTGATTAGAGCTCATTTGTATCTATTTGGACATAAACTATTAATATGCAAGAATCACCCATTCCCTGTTGGCTTTCTGAAGGTTGACCTCTGATTGGATACAGCTGTCAGGAAGCCATGGGTCTAGGCTTTGTGCTTGTTGACACTTGGCAGCAAGGTGTCACTGCAAGAATGATGGAACTCATATCCCTCTTGAGATTCGAACCTGCGTCACATACATCTGAGTCCATATCTTCTTTTGTTTCACTTTGTTTAAAAATGCGCTTATCAGTCTAAATTTTGAAAGGGTAGTAAAGCTTTTACGCGTACAATTGAAAGTATTCATTCGCTTTTTTCACGTCTCTATTAAAGTCACTCATGTTAGTACATTGATTGACATATAAAAATCTCTCTCTCTCCTTCAAAAGTTTTAGTCCTACTAGACATAGAGAGAGAAAAAAAGAAACAAGAATGAAACAGCTGTTCGATTCTTTTTCCTAGTTAGTTATCTTACACTGAATTTATTGAATTATTACAACCAAGCTTGTTTTTACCCACTATATTTTAGTCATTTTCCCAGTACAACCAAAAAACTGAACTATTTTTGAATTGAAGTTATTAGTTATCTTCTGTATCATTTGTCACTTAAGTTTCAGTATTAAAATTATATGGCTTGATAAAACAACGTCTAAAAAATTGTGTGAACAATACATAGTATCTGATGTATCCGGTCTTTAGTCTTTCATCTATTCTAGAACAATCAGTTTTCTCTGTCAAACACCACCCTCTTCATTCACAACTCTCCCCTTGTATCTCATCAGACAGCCAAAACCAGAAGCCTATATAGAAAACTATATGCTCGCACTAGTAAGTACAAAAACCCAACCATACCCTACTTAGCTCGTGTTCTGTGCGATAAAGAAAGCATTAGGTATGAAATCTTTAACTTATTAAATAGTCAGTAGAACAACTGGATCTCGTCTTTCCAACTCATATCATTTATAGGTACAACGTTTTCTTTTCCTTCTCTCTCTCTCTATTTTTCTCTGTTATGTGCTCCTTTGTTTCTTCCTTCTGCTTATGCCAGTGAATGTGCTAGCATCTACTTTTCTAACACCTTCAAACAGTCTGTTCAATTTTTGGCCTTGCTACCGACATGCCAATATGTTGTTGTCATAATGAACTGAGATTACCTTAATCTATGTAGAATTTTATTTTATTGTTAATTTACTAACTGGATGCAATACTGTAGTAAAATGCTGAGAATTCCATTCTTTATCACAAGTACTGTTTTGGAAGTAAGCAAACTATTATTACTATTATTATTATTATCCATATATATATATATATATATATATATATATATATATATATTATTGTGGTGTAATCACAATTCTTCAAACACTGATTCATTAGCGTGTAAGCAGCCGATGGGAAGCCAACGAATAATTGCACGGCCTTATTCTGCACAAATTGTAATCCTTGCTTTATCACATTTCTGTTTGCTTACCTTTCTGTATTGTGCTTCATTGTGTCATAGATTGAAATGATGTACTTCTATGCAGTTCAGTTCAATGAAGCATAAGTTCAAGACATCCTGGAGATTGCTCCAAACTGTCTAAAATCAATTCAGAGTGTTTCTAGTGATACGTAATTTTGTGATAACATTCTAGACTTGACTAGTAGAATTCAGTTGGCATGATGACTAAGATCTAGACATATGTAATTGATAACTCCTTAGTTCCATAATGATTCTTTGTGTATATGTTGCTGAAGTGGAGTGATTAACTAAGGCAGGATAACATATAACATGAGCCTATAACTGTTCAGAGAACCAGAATGAATCCAATTTGTTTTCAGAGAATAATTTCAAGAGAGATAATTTACCTGAAAAAATAATACTTTTCATATTCTTCCATGCATCATTTTCATTTTTTTCTAAAGACATAGTTTTAATTATGAAGTGAAAAATTAATCTACAGTTGAAAAGAATGTCACAACAAGATATCAAAACGAATGTGTACTTGTACAAAATCTATTTCAATAACACGGTGGGTCTCCATGATGTTCTACTCATTTATGGTTAGCAGTTTAATCCTTTTGAAAGTTGAAATATTTACTAAGTATGCTTATCATCATACATGTCAAGATTAGATTCAGAAGTTGTAAAGATATCACCAGCCCTGAATATCACATATTCATGATTAAGTTTTGTAGCACAGAGAATAGGGGATAGTTTCCATCCTTATTTTCAGTTAAATACCTGTGTTAAACTGAAACGTTTCTATAGTTAGCAATTTATTTCAGGTTTTAGGAAGCACTGAATGAAAATTTTAAGCATGTTTGCACTAATTAACAAGGTATGTCTTCAAATGTAAAGAAACTCAAGTCCTTTATGTAATTCGGATCTGTGTCATCCAGTGATAAAGTCAGTAACCTTGTACTTAGACTACGTAGGTTATAACTGACCATCTATGTATTCGTATCAGTTAATCCTTTCTACAAGAGAACAAATTGTATTGTGAATAGCTTAGTGGTAAAATAGCTGACTTTTTTAAATTTCATATAAAAGGTGCAGCACAATACCTGCAGACTAACTATCCCCACTTCAGTATACACCACTATCATGTGACTTAGCTCAAAATTTCATAGTGCATTTATGGCCCATAAATCCACAAAATATCAGTAATTAGCCACCATAAATCATCAGTTTGGTAAATCGACATAATTTTTTTATGTAGTTTTTTCCTCAACTTCCATTTGTAACATTTAAGACTAAAGGATTATGGGTGATTAAAGTCAAGAGAAAACAGGTCATGTTCATCAGTGAAAAAAAAGTAAACTTTTTTCTGGTTGATTATAAGACTCTTTTAGATCATCTGTTTAATGCTGTAAACTTCGTAGGCAAGTGATAAAAAAAGGCAGAAGATAGTGAAATACATAAAAAAGACCACAGGGGATAGATAAGGATTAGATGGTCATAAACAAAGAACT